GCTCACCCAGCTGCTACAAGAAAGATTCAGAAATAGCAGGAAGCAGAAGTGAGCCATGGGCTCATCAGTCATCACAGAACCTTGCCTCACTTTAAGAATTATTCTGAGTCATCCTAACAAACTGCCTACAGGCCAATCTTGCCTAACAAACAGATTTAGTTGTGTGCAGTAGAAAGAGAAAACTATAGCTATGTTCATTTATACAAAGTTTATTTACATTAAGTTTTCAACCTTAAGAACCCATCTGTAGATTTTGTTTTAGCATTTAACTCTTTGCAGAAATTAACCAAAATGCCATCATGACTAAATATTCTCAATTTTAAATGCAAAGAACATTTACCATTTATGAATGGGGTGTAGGGGTAGGGTGACCATGCCCCAGTCTGCTCCTCAGGGAGGACCATGAGTAGCTTTCTTTCATTTCTATGAATGATAAAATCACATGAACACACCAATGAAGTCAAGCACCACAGGAAACTTAAACTTAACCTGTTCAGTTTCCCTTCACATCCATTCCTAAATTGCATAAGTTCCCATCACATTTGTTATAGGTGTTGGTAATATGTAGCATCCTGCTTACACATGCAGTCTAGCCCCGAGACAGCTGGGGCCTGCCTCCTAGTGGTGGGGTGGCCTCCAGCTGCCCCTGAGCACACCTTTGTTTCAATGTCTTGTCTGAAGACGTCCTCCTACGCTCTACTTCACTCCCCTCTTTTGGTCCCATAAGATCCCTTCTCGAATTTAATAAGCTCCATCATTTGCAACCAAACCAAACTGGTGCCAAGTGTGTCCTCATAGGAAAGTATACACTCCATCCAAAGAATACTTTGCTTTATAGTCAAACCAAAACTGAAAACCAAACCTGCCTGGGTTTCCTTGTTCACTAAGTTGGACATGCCCACTTCTGCCTCACCATCTAGTCCGCATGGCATTGGGGGTATAGAAGGGGCAATTAGAGGCAGAATGAAAGGGAGTCAAGGAGGAATGAAAGAAGTAAAATCATCCCTAGTCACAGAAGGCAGGGTCTTCCTTGTGGAAGAACCCAAGTAAAATCTGCTAGGGTGGATAAACACTCAGCAAAGCTGGAGGGACACAGAGCTGGCACGCGGGAGCACGCCTAAGACGTCAGGACTCTGAGGGACGCAGAGCTGGCGCGCAGGAGCACGTCTAAGACGTCAGGACTTTGGAGAGAGGCACAAGATCCGCATGAGATCACACTGAAGCTACATCGCCAACCATGGCTCCACAACTCCATCTGAAGAACAGAAGTTATGGGATACAAAATCAGTATTAAAAAGTTCTATTTTGTGTGGAGAGCTAGCACCATAGGGAAGAGTGCTTGTAGTGTAAGCATTAGGATGTGTGCATGAATCCACAGAAGGGCTGGGTGTGGTCTTGTGTGCTTGCACCCCAGCTTTTGTGCAGAGGTAGAGACAGAAGAACTGTTGGAGTCTGCTAGCCATATGGTCTCCCTGAAAAATGGTGAGCTCCAATTTCAGTGAAAGACCCTGGCTCAGGGAAGAAGGTGGTGACAGGGCAGAAACATGACATCCTCTCTGGCTTCTGTGTGTGCCTATGCCTGCACACATGTGTACGAAGTTTATTTCTGTAGATTGACTGTGAACAATATGAGAAAGAAATTTTTAAAAATTCATTTACAACACCATAAAAAGAAAAAAATTAAGTTAGGCAGTGGTCGCTCTCACCTTTAATTCCAGCACTTGGGAGGAAGAGGCAGATGGATCTCCGTGAATTGAAGGCCAGCCTGATCTATAGAGCGAGATTCAGGACAGCCAGAGATACACAGAGAAACCCTGTCTCAAAACAATTACATCTATTTGGGTGGCCATCATTAAAGAAAAACAGGAATACATATTGTAGACAAGGGAGGCGGCTCATGAGGTGAAGTCATGCTGAATAAGCCCCAATAGCCCGAGCTCCATCCCAAGAACCCACACGGAGGTGGATGAAAGGCTCCAACTTCCCACATGTGCACTGTGGTATGCATCATATATGCACATAAGCAATAACAAGCCAGCACATACATACATATGCAAATAGAAAATACAATTGGGGAGAATATAGAGAACTTGGAATGCTTAAGTACTGTTCACAGTAAAATAAAGTAATATTGCACTTCTATTGTGGGTCCTTAAAATGTTTAAAACCTAACTACCAGATGATCCAGTGACTCCATTCTGGAGATGTACACAAAAGAATTAGAGTCAGTGTTGCAGACAGACATTTGTTATAGACTGAAGCATGCTGTGTTTGTCCCCCAGTTTTCTATGTATAAATCCTATCCCATAGATGCAGTCAATGCTGGTGGCATTGTTCTCCCATGCCTAACTACCTGCTAAACCCTCCTCTTTCCATCCCATAGTTTTCCCCATTTTTAGCATCTATTTCTCTGAGATGATACATTAAGTAGGGTGATATGGGTAGACCTTAGTTTGCTATGACTGATATGTTTTTAGGAGAAGGAATAGAGAACTGGGGTGTGGCTCACTTGGTAGTGTTTAACTGGCACACATGAAGCCTTGCTACTTATCCCTGCACCAAATATAGCCCATGTGGCCATGCATGGTGGTACACTGCTCTACTCCTAGCACTGGGGAAGCAAAGGCAGGTAGATATGGTGAGTTCAAGACCAGCCTGATCCACATTTTCCAAGTCAGCCAACACTCCACAGTGAGACCTTGTCTCAAAAACCAAACCACCATCCAAACTTTGGTGTGGTGGTAATTCCATCCCTTGGGTGGTAGGGACAGGAAAACTGGATATTTAAATCATACTAATCCACACAGCAAGCCACCTTGGTACTCTACGAAAGCCTCTCTTGGAGAGAAGATGTGGGAGAGAAGGGGAGAAGAGAGAAAAGGGAAGGTATAAAAAAAGAGGAGGAAGAAAAAATTAAGCCATCTACAAGTTATATTGAAAGGCATAGGGAAAAATCAGCCCTGCCAAATCTTAGTCTTGAATATCTAGCCTCTACAACTAAGAGAAAATTACTATTGTTTAAACCAACCAATCCAAATGTTTAGTTACAGCAGTCCTAGTACCTTAATATGTTGTACACTCAAGTTTAGAGCAGGGTTAACCCTAAAAGTCAGCAAACTCAATTTGCAATAAAAAGATAAAATATGGCCTCCTAACATGTTAAAGCATCAGTGAATTCTTAAGACACATACCAGATGAAATACGGCATCCATGAAGAGAAAGTATTCTAGGCTATCATTCATGTGAGGCCCCTACAGTGTCACACATATAGACAGAAAGTAAGAGAGTAGTTGCCACAGACCCAGGGAAGGGAGTAAAATGAAACACGCTTTAGTTATCTTAGAATCCAGTTTGCCAGATGTCTAGTGCCAAAGACTGACTGGGCCACAATGTGAATGTACTTAGCAATACTAACTAAATACTAAAAACTGGGTAAGATGGTAAAGGTTATTTGCATTTTGTCATAGTTTCAAAAGAATAAAAAATGATTTATTGGTTATGATACAAAAACACAAGCAACCAAACACACACAGGAAACCAAACACATACACACAGACACAAACACATTGGACTTCATCAAATTAAAACCTTTTGTACATCAAAAAACAGTATCAGCAGGATGAAAAGACAATCACTGGAGTCGAAAAAATATGTACAAGTCATATATCTGATAAGGACCTAATATCTAAAACATGTAAAGGATTTACAAATTCAACAACAAAAGAAAAGGAAAAAGCTTAAAGTGGGAACAGAACTTAGACATAAATTTCAATAGAGAAGAAATACAAAGGACCACAGACACATGAAAATATGTAGATGTAACTGACCACTGGGGAGCTGTAAATCTGCTTGTATACATCAGGGTCACTATTTTAAATGGAAAATATCCTGTTAGGACATAGAGAGGGGCAATGTTTGTGCTCTGCAGGAGGGGAAAGAAGACAACAGCCTCTATGAGAATATGGCAGCTACTTAAGATATTCAGACTCCCACATGCCAGAACATCCAGCGCCTGTCAGACTCCAAAACAACTCAAGCACGGGAGTTCCAACACTCATGTCATAACATCAGCTAACAGGAGTCAAAAAGGGAAAGCAACGCTAGTGTGCAATGGGGAGATGATCAGTGTGCTCTAGTGTGCAATGGGGAGACGATCAGTGTGCTCTAGTGTGCAATGGGGAGACGATCAGTGTGCTCTAGTGTGCAATGGGGAGACGATCAGTGTGCTCTAGTGTGCAATGGGGAGATGTTCAGTGTGCTCTAAAGTTCAATGGGGAGACGATCAGTGTGCTCTAGTGTGCAATGGGGAGATGATCAGTGTGCTCTAAAGTTCAATGGGGAGATGATCAGTGTGCTCTAGTGTGCAATGGGGAGACGATCAGTGTGCTCTAGTGTGCAATGGGGAGATGATCAGTGTGCTCTAGTGTGCAATGGGGAGACGATCAGTGTGCTCTAGTGTGCAATGGGGAGATGATCAGTGTGCTCTAGTGTGCAATGGGGAGATGATCAGTGTGCTCTAAAGTTCAATGGGGAGATGATCAGTGTGCTCTAATGTGCAGTCGGAACTCGATCAGTGTGCTCTAGTGTGCAATGGTGGAGATGATCAGCGTGCTCTAGTGTGCAATGGGAACTGGATCAGTGTTGTGCTGTGGGTGTGGCCCTTAATATTCAGCCTTGACGTGGGAAGGAAATGCTGACGAATGCTCCATGGACCAACTTCAACAAAATGGGGCTAAACAAAATAAGTCATACAGAAAAGATAACTATCTAATGAACCCACTTAATGTTGATCTAAAATAGGCACATTTACACAGAATGCAATTTAGTGATTATAAGACTACAAAAAGGAGGAAATGAAAATTCATTGCTTAAAGAGACAGGCCCTGGACTGTTGAAAATTTTTGGAAATAGCTGTGACAGTTTCACAGCATTATAGAAATAACCAATGCCATCTAATTCTACAGTTAAAAAATCTCTCTCTCAATAAAAATTAGGTTTGAAGTTGTTCCTTTATTTCAATCAGTAAAAACCCAACTGCTCTGAACTCCGTCAGTCACTTCCTATTAGCACTTTGGGATTCTAGTACACAATGATGAAACACCGCTCATGATAAAGTATGGCCAACACTAATAATAGTATATTTTGATTGGTCTTACATGATCCCAACAAACTTAGAAGCAATTGGTAATATTATTAACACTTGACAGAAGAAAAACTTGCCACTTATTGAAAGCTCTCAGCCAGTATTCTGCCAGTAAGTGGTGTTTTCCATTACTGAAGGGCAGCGATGCCATTAACCTAGTCATCCAGTTTTAGTAATGTCTAAGCAAAGACACAAAGGTTACGTAGGAATATGGTATTAATAGTGGTTATCTTTAAAAGCTAACGTGTTTCTAACAAGAGAAGAAAAAAGAAACAGCAAAACACATTCAGGGACTTGAAGCAGCCCAGTGAAGGAGCAAGTTGCCAGACCGTGCAGCAGTAAAAAGGGCAGAGGGAAGCTTTGTTTGGGTTGTCCGTCGGGTTCAGCAGGAACTTCTGTAGCCTGTGTGGGGTCGGGGGCCTCAGGTATGCAATGGTTAGACTCAAGAATCACAGGTATGGCATCTTGAGGTAAGTATAAAAGGTGAGTTTGCTAGGATCCGGGGATGCCTGGGTCTTTCTTTCCAAGGGGTCCTTCAGCAGGTGTGACTGTCAAGGTGCAGAATTGTCAAGGCAGCTTGGCATTTGGTAGATGAGGCCTGAAGTTGGCATAGGATCATCCTGCCCCATTTCAAAAATCCTTGGAGTGGCAGGGGACTCCAGCTCACTGTGGGAGTAGTTAAACCAGCATATGAATCCTGAGAGAGGCCACTCACTGGAGGCCATCTTTGCAAACTAGCTACACAGGATTTGACACACAGGAACAAGGCTTGGGAAGGGGTGTTAGGCTTCAGGAATGGATGAGATCAGAGCCTGCAGTAATATTCTTTATTATACCTGAAATGCAAATGGGCAGATAGTGTTAAGAGCAACAGAGTAAAGATTTCAACTGAACTTGGTACCCGGAAAAGAGAAATGCGGACTGTAGATGACTCTCATTTCCTTCTTAGGGTTAAGGGTGCAGTTATTCAGTGAGAGGGAAAATGAAGCACAGAGATGGGTGTGACGACTTTCCAGCTGTGCCATTGACAGTAGGCAGGTCACAATAGGGTCTAGACATCAGGGAAGAGACAAACTCAGAGTGCTGAAAGCATGGAAGAAATGAACTTCCCCAAAAGGGCATATACAATTAGAAAAGAAAAAACAAAAAAACAAAACTCAACAGGAGCCGTAACACCAAAACTTCATGGGTAACCAGAAAGAGAGCAGTACCATACGAGGAGGACCTCCTTGGCATTGTCGAGGTCCTGGGTTCATTAACATCACACACAAAAAGTACTTCATAGATGATAAAATGACTACTTGAATCATGCATTATAAAGAGATTAAAGATGATTGAGACTGAAAATTGTCCCTTGGGATGATAGGCACCTTATTAGTGACTTGGAAAAAGCAGTGCTGGGAATATAGGTGTCACTGCAGCAAATGAAGTAAATGAGGCAGTGGCAAAGACATAGGATAGGAGCAGTCATTCCTGCAGGTTCACGGAGAATCCCAATGAAGACTTCAAAGAGACAGAGAAGGGAAGAGGGAACCAGATAAGACTGACCTGTGGTGACCACGGTCTGTAGAAGGATGTCTTGGATGACAAGATTGACCTGTGGTGACTGCAGTCTGTAGGAGACTGTCTTGGTGACAAGATTGACCTGTGGTGACTACAGTCTATAGGAGTCTGTCTTGGTGACAAGACTGACCTGTGGTGACTGCAGTCTGTAGGAGACTGTCTTGGATAACAAGATTGACCTGTGATGACCACGGTCTGTAGGAGTCTGTCTTGGATGACAAGATTGACCTGTGGTGACTGCAGTCTGTAGGAGACTGTCTTGGATGACAAGATTGGCCTGTGATGACCACCGTCTGTAGAAGACTGTCTTGGTGACAAGATTGACCTGTGGTGACAAGATTGACCTGTGGTGACTACAGTCTATAGGAGTCTGTCTTGGATGACAAGATTGACCTGTGGTAACTGCAGTCTGTAGGAGTCTGTCTTGGATGACAAGACTGACCTGTGGTGACTGCAGTCTGTAGGAGACTGTCTTGGATGACAAGATTGACCTGTGGTGATCACGGTCTGTAGGAGTCTGTCTTGGTGACAAGATTGACCTGTGGTGACTGCAGTCTGTAGGAGTCTGTCTTGGTGACAAGATTGACCTGTGGTGACTGCAGTCTGTAGGAGTCTGTCTTGGTTGACGGTTGCTGTGTGAAGACCACTGCAGAAGCACCGTGTCTGGGCAAATGGGCCAGAACCTATAAGAAAGCCAGCTGAGCAGAAGTCAGAGGGCAAGCCAGTGAGTAGCCTGTCTTGGTGATCCCTTCCTCTTTGTGACCCTGCTCTGATTTCCCTTGATGGTGGGCTATGCCCTGGAAGTACAAGTTTAAATAAGTCATCTCCTCACCTTAAAAAAAATTAGAGATTGCTGGAAAGCTTGTGGACCTGGCCAAGCTGGTGACTGACTCTGTGTGCTCAGTAGCTTAGTTGTGGATTTTATTCTCTCCTCCTCATCAGTCATTATGTAGAAAAGAGTCCTACAGACTCAGAGGATATGTTGTGCTCAAAGGGTATGTGGAAAGAAGAAAATTACAAACTTTATGGCCTGATGAGGTGGTGCACACCTTTATTCCCAGCATTCCTGTGGCAGAGGCAGGTAGATCTCCATGAGTTCCAGGCCAGCCTCGCCAGGACTATATAATGAGGCCCTTTCAAACAAGGATTAGTGGTAGAAAACGACAGATTTTAGCAAGGCATCTGCTATTGAGAAAGCACATGCTGCGGTTAGTGTTGTTTGCTGAAGGTGTATATTTGGTACACTGAGTGCAGCTTAAAGGCCTTCAAGGTATGGGGACATCTCCATTAGAAATCCTACTTTGTTTGGTTTTGTTTTTTGAGACAGGGTTTCTCTGTGTAGCTCTGGCTGTCCTGGAACTTGCTTTGTAGACCAGGCTAGCCTCAAACTCACAGAGATCTGCCTGCCTCTGCCTCCTGAGTGCTGGGATTAAAGGCATGCATGACCAACACCTGGCTTGAATTCCCACTTTCTAAATAGGCTTTGTAAGATGTAGAAGAGGAAACAATCCCAGACATCCCTAGGATACAACATACTTGATATAAATAATTATGCCCAGGCTCAAAAGTCTAAAGTCAAGACACTTCAACCTATGACAAGAGTTCTTATTTCCTACTGAGAGTGAGCTGGTTGCTTGCCGAGAACCAGCAGTGCCTATACAGTCACTGGCACAGCTCGCCAGCTGTGGCAGGTTAACGGCTTCTCCAGGTTGGCACTCAGCATGTCTAAGTTACCAGCTGTCCATCAGCACCACAGCTTCCAAAACCATGTTCCTTTGTTCTCAGAGGTCTTCCTTTTCATTATTTAACTTTCATTTTATTTTCAAAACAGAGGTAGAAACAAGCATACACATTCACCAACGGTATTTTCTAGATGTTGCTTTTAGAACTGTAGGCTGGTTTATTAAACATCTCCAGACTTATCTGATGGTGATTCATGTGCAGATACATATTTTTCAAGCTTCTTTAAGGGCTAGTCCGGTCAGACTTTGACACAGAAACAACTAGGCAGGACTTGCTGGCTTGTCTTTAATCTCATTGGGCAGGAGGCTGGGGCAGTAACGCCACAAGCTCCAGGTGGACCTAAATTCTGAAAAACAAAAAGCCTGCCTGCATGTACTTGATGAAGAGCATTTTCTCCCAGCACGTTTGCATTTGGAGCGCTTCTATATACAATAATGCGTAATATGAGAGCAGTAGAGAAAGGGCCAATGTGTCCTGAACAGCAACCAGCAAAGCCCAGTAGTGGTGCTGTGTGCGGTTTGATTCCAGAAAGCGATCTGCCCTTGGTCACACTGTGCTGTCGATTACGGGAGTCTGAAGTCACTGTTCTGATTAACAAAGAGCTCCTCCACACGGTACCGGATCAGTGTTAGAGAAAGTAAAGTAAGGTAGACTATTCTCGGAGGATTCTCTAAAAATGTCTTCAGCAATACTGAGAATTTCTTTAAACAAATGTAACCTCGTTGTCTAAGCCTATTCAAGTGCAGTTGGTTTTATTCGCAATGTACTCTATTCTGTTGACCACATTTTTATTACAAGATTTTAATTAATGCAAATATAACCTTTCTGCCCCACTAAGGTGAGCATGATTCTTAAACTTAAGTATTCTGGGAGTTGAGAATAAAAACCCTGAAAGCATTCTCCGTCTTTAAAGCTGTCTTTGCTAGTGCAGGAGACAGCTGCTCAGACGAATGTTCTGCCACGCAGGGATGAACGCAGCTCAGAGAGGGTTAATTTTGTCTGGGAACAGGGTAGGAGGAGAAGGATTCTCCCCATGGTACAGAAAGGAGTAGGGCTATTCCAGGCAGAGAGAGCAACGAGAAAAAGCCCAGTGAGTTACAGGGCCTCTTCGGGAAACAATAAGTTGCATGTGTGGTGAACAGTGAGATTCCTGCGGAGTGGTGGCAGATGTCACGTGAAAGATTGCACTTTTTGTTAGAACGGAAGTGATAAATGGCTACAAAAGCAGGAAGGAGATACAATCACTGTCTTCTGAAGAAAAGTCTGGGGAGGTGTAAAAGTCTGATGGGACAGGAGAGAAGACGGAAAGCCAATTGGAAAGCTGTGGTGTCAGGGCAGGCAGAGCCCTGAGTGGTGATTGTGGGACTAGAGAGAAGGGGGTGAACGGGACTGAGGTGGGTTTCAGACATGAAATCACCTGGACACAACGACTATTTAACTGAGAGGAGTCAGAGATCCCACCAGGCATTTGGCTTACATCATGACTTAATCTATGTAGCAAATAACAGGCTAAAAATGACTTCAGTGCTGGTGAGAATGTAACGGGGCTTGCTATGCAAGCCTAAGAACCTGATTCACTCCCTACTGGAAGGAGAGAAGCAATTCCTAAACGCCATCCTCTGATCAACTCATGTGCCATGTGCTAATCCCCCCCAACACACACACACACACACACACACACACACACACACACACACAGAGCAACAACAGTGATTACTACTTAGTAGCAAACACTTTCGAGGCTGATCCAGAAGACAGCTAAGTATGAGGGTCTCAGCTAAGGACTCATAGACAACCTCAAATTAAAGGCATGGATTTAACACCTACAAATGGTATGTGTATTCACATGAGTAGATGAAGTCTCAAGGAAGGACTGTCAGGTATTACCACGCAAGAAGTTGGAGAAAGGAGACTGCTCACCCAGTATGTGCCAGCCCTGAGGGCAAGGCCCCACATCTGGGGATCAAATGACAAATATTTAAGGCAATACTTGTAAGCAATCTTTCATGAGAAAATGTAAAAGGATAACTGTATAACCAAGAAGAAACCATTTTCGTGAGATACAAAAAGTTACCAAAAAGAAAAAGCTGTATTAACCCAGCTCCTTTAACATCTTCAAGGGGCTGGTGAGACGGCTCAGCTGGTAGGGGCTCGTGCCACTAAGGTGGAGACCCGACTTTGATCTCCGGAACCCACATAGTGGGAGGAGAGAAATGATGTCTGAAAGTTGTCCTCTGACCTCCACATCTGTGGCATGTTTGCACACACACACACATACACCCACACACTGACACACACATTCACACACACACACTCACACACTCACACAAATAAATGGGGAAGCTAGAGAGATGGCTTAGCAGAGGTGGAAGTTCAGTTTCAGGCAGCTAGCTCACAACCACCTGTAACTCTAGTGGCAGGGGATGCTTTCTTCAGGCTTCTGGAAGCATCTGTGCTCATGTAAAAGAAAATATAATTCACAATATTGTAAACAAGTCACAGAATAGAAAGTGTATGTTCAACACATACAACTGATGAAGCTGACATGCAGCATATATATATATACATATATATATATTTGTATATATTTGTGGAATTTTCACAAGTCAGAGATGAGGCAGACGATCTAATGAGGAAATTTTAAAAAATACCCAGGTGGTAGTCTGGTCTACATACAGTGAGTTTCAGGACAGCCGGGGCTGTTACACAGAGAAAGCCTGTCTTAAAAACAAAAACAAAGAAGTGCCATGCCAAAAGAAAACCAAATAGACAAGTAAAATAAGGAACTCGATCTTTTAAATAATCAAGAAAATATAATAAATCCATAATGAAACAGTACCATACACCCAATGTGTCAAAGCTTGAAATGTTCAATACTCCTAAGCTTCAGGCAAAAAAAATTAGAGAAACTAGAATTCATATTTACTATTTAGAAATGTAAACTGACTCAGCAAATGTTGACGATTATGTCAGTATCTAGCTAAAGTAGAAACATACAATTCCCTAAGGCTCAGCAATCTCACTCCTAAAATACACCTTACAAATTTGCATCTTTGTGTGTACCATGATATACACAGAAGGGTGTTTAGAGTAACACTATCACAACTTTACCAAAGAGGAAACAACCCAAAAATTTCTCAACAGAATAATAGATAAATTGTAACATAGTCACACTGAGGATTACTATACAACATGCAGCAATGTATCTTTTGATACATAATTCTAAACAGGATGCAAAGGAGTTAACAAAATGAAACAATTAATTATATTCACACAATTCTGAATATGGAAAATGCACCTATACTGCTTAGGAATGCAAGAACAAGTAGTTAAATTAGAGAAGAAATACAAGAAAGCCACTGCCAGAGGGATGAAGTAATGGCTCCCTCCGAGGAGGCAGAGATGACCACCCAGGGATGCCCAGAGAAATTCTTCAATTCCTTGGCCCGGTGGCATTGATCACAAATGATTTAATGTGCACATAAACTTTGTGAGCTTTTAAATAAATGTATGCTAACATTTTCATGGCCCAAACTTTGAAAAGCTCTTAAATTTTACAAAAGATGTGATAGTGACCCAAAGGTCTTCATTTAGAGATGAAGGGAGAATACTAAGAAGGCTGGCCAAGCATATCCAACAGCAAAAAAAAATCCCAATAACTTAGTTTCTAATTTTAAAAGTTCAAATAAAAATATTAAATGATGAGGTGCTGAGTATATATTCAAATGTGTGACCCGAATAAGAAAGTGCAAGGAAAAACAAGATCTTGGCTGTTTTACTTTCCAAACAGAACATAAGAACAATATTGTTTTGTCTTACATGTAAAAGAAAGATTGAGGAGGTTAGTAGCAGGAATGGACTCTTGAGGACTTCAAAAGCCTAAGTTGGAAAAACCAAGACCTTTACTCTGTAAGCAATTGGTCTCTCTTACCCACTGGCTAAATCATCTTAAACATTTCAGACTTAATTTTGCAAAATGAAATTCATCTAAAAAGACAAGAGTTTGTCATGGTTGAGATAAAAACAAACACCAGCACAAGTCGCAAGCATCAGAACTAAAAAGAACTTGCCAAGTTGGTCAGTGACAACAAAATCCTGAATGCTTCTTTGTAGGCAAACTAAGCCTGTACATAGTGCATTAAGCTGTTCTCAGTTTCCCATCCGGTGCACAACCCTTTTCTGGATCAGGAGTCCTATAATTGCAGCAGCACTGTCTTAAAGAGTGAAAATGTCACAGTGGAGAACAGAAAGCACTATTCATGAACATGAACCAACCAGCAAGGAATTTTTAAATCACTTAGACATTAAAATTAGTAAGGAATTAAAGGGAAACTAGTGTCACACTAGTCTTCTCAGTAATACTCTATGACTAGCTCTCTGAAAACCATTAAAATGAGAAGTAAGTGATACCCAGGTATAATAAAGTTAAGAACTTCCCACACAATAATTTCAATTGCCCAAACTCAAACTTTGCAGCTTTGGGCTGAAGTTATTTGCTCATTGGAAAATGCTTATGCAGAATGCTTAAGGCCCTGGGTTTAACCTCCAGCACAGAAAAGAATAAACAAATGTTCTGGTTTGCTTTCTATTGACCAAAGGGAACTTAGGAAAGTAAAGGATCCACCTGGTATACAGGTCACAGGCCATCATCAGGGAAAGCAGGAGCAGGACCTCAGGGGCAGGAATGGAAGCAGAAGCCTTGGAGGATGCTGCTTACTGGCTTACTCATTCTGGTTTGTTGAGCCACTTTTATACAGCCATGACCACCTACCCAGGAAGGGGACCACCAACAGTGGGCTTAAGAAAATGCCCCCTCAGACCTGCCCACAGGTTAATCTGATGGAGGCAATTCCTCAAATGAGGGTGAGTCCTCCCAGACTCCCTTGTTAGTGTCCAGTTGATAAAACAAGCACAATAAATAGAGTTGGCCTTCATCTGGTGACTGATCCTCAAGTCGTAGGATGTGTCTTCCTTGAATGAACGTTTGCTGCAATACTACAAAATAAAATGGCAGCTCCTAGAGCAGAGAACATGAGCTCTGCCACTGAGTGCAGCGTCTACAGAACCTTGAATAAGTAGCCAAGCCACCAGAGTCTTACCTGTCACCAGCCTCCTGAGCTTTAAGCAGATTTAACAAACAATATGTGTGAATAATAGTTAGTAGGCCAAAGCAGGGGAAGTTCCACCATCCCTGAAAATACTATTTCCTGCAAACAAATAAATAGGTTTTACCCCACAGTGCCAAGAATGAACTTGATCTTTACCAAGAAACTCATTACTAGCCCTTTATTTGAAGTATCAAAAAACCCCACCTTAAATGTACAAAAATAAAATTAATCATATGTAAGTTCTCTCAGCCTTAAACAATTAAGACATAAATGAGGGTCTTGTCTATTTGTCCTCAGTCCTCACCCCCAAATCAGACTCAGGGTCTTGCTATGTAGCCCAGGCTGGCCTCAAACTCACAGCAATCCTACTGCTTCAGCCTCTCAAGTGCTAGAATCAAGTGTTTACCAGCATCAAGCCCACTTACCTCTCCCTCTCTTTCCCCAACAGCTTTGAAGCCAAATCCTTGGTGCAGAGTAAGGAGGAGGAAGAGAAGATTGTAGCACCAACACCTGAGTTTTAAAGTCCCGTGGTCTCTTCAGGGGATGCAGGAGAAGAAATACAGAGTCAAAACGAGAGGGTTAAGATGGGGGTTACCAGCACTGAAACCAAGATCCAAAGCTGCCCTTTGAATGGCATCAAATATAAACACTGGGGAAACAGTATCTTCTCTTGCTGCCTGTTCATTAAGGACACAACCAATGTGCCACCAAGAAATCCTGTGAGTGCACAAAGGCCTGTAGAGTTTGTATCTCTTTAAAGTATTTCTCTCCCTTAAAATATATCCAATTACTAATGTATTTAACCAAATACCTAAAACATAGATCTATTTTATTTAACATCAAGTTTAAATACTGACATTGTAACTAAAAAGTAAGTCTACTTTTCAAAGCATTTGTTAAAAACTTGTAACACCATGTATATTTCATTATTTTTTAAAGTGTAAAAATCTGTTTTATAATTTTTCATATGTATATTTCACAGGCAAAATTTTAAAATAAAATTTAAAAAGAAAATATGATCCCTATTTGAGTAGCTGTGACAGATGATGGTATATCTTAGAAGCATTGAGAGCTTTAAACATACATAAGAATATTTGTACACTAAAAATATTTTATAAGCTCTTTAGACACCACGCTGTGGAATCAGGGACCGTTCACTCTTACATTTTAGTTCTTACCCCCAAGTATCAAAATTAGTTATGATTTATTTATATTCCACTTCAATCCCTCCAAAAATTTGGACTCAAGTTCCTTAAATCACAATTGTACAATCTACTTTAAAAGAATTTCTAAAAATTCCAAAAAGGTTTCATAAGCAGCTCAATAAAGATTAACCTTTTTTTAAAAAGGTATTTGTGACCTGGGAATGTAATGCAATCTTGTGTCTTTAATATTGGTCACCAAAAAGAGGTACAATTTTTTAGAAACAATAGATTTTCATTAGCTCTCCACTGATGCTTCCTCACTGAATAAAGGGAGCCCAAATCCACAACTGCAAATCTTGTTGAAACACAATGTTCAGGATGTTCCATCGCTCAAGCAGTAGACTAGAGACATAGGTATGCAGTTTTGTGTATTACAACAGCATTCAACTCAGTTTCCAGAGCAACATTCACTCACCTTTTTAACTCCACAAAACAAAAGTAGACATATTCACAAGCGCTCTGAGTTCTGGCTGTCCTGCCTGGCTGCCTTTCCCCCCAGAAGACTGAACCGCTGGCCAGGGTTCTGCTCCCGAAAGCCTCCGAAGGGCTGCCCGTATGTGTTTGAACTAAAATCGAACTCCCTTTTAAAATACAATTAAACAAAACACTGGATCAAAATGGCACGTGCCTCTCCTACATCCCCCCCCCTTTCTTTCCAGATACCAGTAAAAATCAACACAATGATTAAATTGCTTTCTCAACAACCATCTATTAAAAACAGGTGGGGGAACTCTTTCAAAAAGCCTATCATTTAGATCCTTCCCCTGAACATTCAAACACAGTTTCTTTAAGATAACTGAGGTAACTTCCTGTTGCCAAATAAGAAATTCATTATTATGCAATATTAGCTAACTTGGTGGCGATTTTTATTATTGTCGATACTGAGACTTTCATTTTCATATGAAATGCTGACATTGAAGGAAGAGAGGCAAACCCTGGGAAGCAGAGAGGCACTTGTAACTTTACTAAGTTTTTTCTTTCTTTGTGAGGGCAGCTGGAGGGTTGATTTTGCTTTCTGAGGTAGGATCTTCTGTAGCCCAGGCAAGTGTAGGTGAGGACGGCCCTAAACTTCTGATCTTCCAGCGTCCTCCTGCCTAGTCTTGAGAGTTGGGATTACATGTTTGTGTCACCACACCCGGCTAATTAGACACGTTTAGAAAGATATCTTATTGCTATTCTTCAATTAATTCTCCGCCAAAAGGCAAGTGATTTTCTGGTCTTGAATAGTAATCATGTAGACTCTCTTTACCAATCATGTATGTATTAGCTATAGGTATATATCAGATACATTTTATTTCTCCACCTGTAAGCACAACGTTGTCAACAGACATCCTTAACATCATTAACATTGTAATTAATTCTTCCAGTTAGCAATGGAATTATCTTTTATTCTTAAAGCTGAAAAAAATCACAATAGCCGTGGAGGCTGCTGTTTTCCACAAATTACATGGTGTATGTGTGTTGGGGGGACAGTGATTTTATTTTAAAACAAAAACTTGGTGTTTGATTGGGTTCAGTTTTGGTCTCTGGATAGGTGTGAATCTGCTGACACTCATTAAGGTTTTTCACCTGTTTTGTTGTCTCAATCAGATTCCCCCGGTTTGCTTTAAGGATTTTCTCAAAACAAACAAACAAACAAATAGGCGCCCGTGCACACGTTCACAATTTAGAAAACCCGCGTTCTTCACAAACCCTCCCCTCGGGACCAGTACCAAAGCCAGAAGAGCGCCCGAGCCGGCCTCTTCCACCGAATCTCCGGGCTTCAACGAACCGCGATGCTCTGCCGATGGTTTTCGGCCTAGCCCGCCTGTCCCGGCCACCTCTGGCCGCGGGTCCTCCCCTCCCGCGTGGCCGTCCCGGGGCCGTCCTGGCCGGCAGGGCGAGCGGGCAGAAGGCGGCTGCAAACCGAGCGCCCGGAGGTTTCGTTGCGCTCCCCAGACGCGCTCGTGCGGCTCGGGGCCGAGGGCTTCGACTCCACAGGCCGCTCGGTTTAGCCGGTGTCGCCGGCCACACACCCCGCGCGTCCCGAGGGAGGTGACCCAGGACGCTTCCCAAACCGCGCCCGCAAACAGGTGGCCGCTGCCCGGATCTGCGCCCCGGCCACCGCGGCCGCCCTCGCCCGCTCCGCCCCGGGTCCAGGGAGAGCACGTGCCGGCCGCTCCGCGAAGCCTCGTGCTGCGGGCGGGAAGCGCGGCAGGGCCGGGCCGCGGGCAGGAACGCGGGGAGCCCGGGCCTCGGCCTCTGCCCACGGCGACCGTCGAGAAAGTTCCCGGAGCGCGCGGGCCAGCCTGGCCGACTGGCCGCACACGAACCCGAGGCCCGCGGGGCCCCGTACCTTGCTCCGGAGGCCGCGCTAGGCCCGCTCTCCGGGTTCAGTTCCCGGGGTTGCGCTGTCCCTGGCGGCCTGGGGCGGGACCTGTGGGGCGGCCTCCCCGGCCCTCGGCCTGGGCCTCCAGCCCCGCTTCCCGCGAACGGGCCGGGCCGGGCCGCCAGGGGCCCGCGCGCTGGAGGCGGGGCGGGCAGCGCTCGGGGCCGGCGTCCGGGAGCGGCCTTCGCGGTGGCCGCTCGCCCTGGAGGGGTCCCGCGCAGCGGAGGGCTCGCCCTCCGTCCCGGGCAGGGCACGGCGGGGCGGCTTTCCCGCAGCCGGGGCTCGAAGGCCGGCCACCTCGCTGGCGACCCCCGCAGCTTTTCGTTGTTTCTCTATTCCCTCGCGCCCACGGCCACGGCTCTTTGACCTCACGCCGAGGCGTCGGGTGGAACAGGCTGGGCGGTTGTGGGCCCTGGGCTTTCTTGGGCACCTGACGTTATTAACGTAGTTTCCCTCCCGTTCAGTCTCCGAGCCTTGGCCAGGAGGCTGGGCTGGGAAGGGTAACCCTGACGAGCCCTCTCTCCCCTAGAACGAAGGCCAGCTGCCCTCACTCAAGGCTGCGGGCCTGGCGTCTCCCTCTGAGGTCAGCTTGTGTTCATCTGTTTTAGAGAACCTGTGGGAAAGATAGTTTGGTGACCTGGCAACTTGTGGTGCGAACTAATGGTTTAGAAAGATTCCTTAGGTTCGAATCTGGGATCCCACAGCCACCCGGGACACCTCAGAGAAAGGACACTCCTCTGCTGCCAACGCGCAGGACACAGATTTTTTCTTCTTTTTTTCGTTTTGTTTTCCTTTTTGGCTCGGCTCAGAGAGCATTGCAGCGGTATCCTTTCCCGCCTCCAGACTCTTCCCCTCCCCCTTCTTTCTGGTGCAGGCAATTAGGGTGAAGAAATCAGTGCCAGGCTTCTGCCTCTTAAGAGAAAGGAGCTGCTTTTGGAATTAAGTCCTGACACCTGTGTCAGTCCTAGATGGCAAGGAGGTGCGGGGTCAAAACCCTGGAGAGGGACAGGCCGCCAGGGGTGGGGAGAGCCATCCCTAAAAGAACGTTTTGGGGGACTCCTCTTGTCATGACTTCCCGCCTTATTCTTCAGCCTCCAGCTTCGCGCAGGTCATTAACACGCGGGTTATTAACAGTTTTTCTCCCTTTTAATCCCCTGAGACCGAGACCCGAAGCTGGAATTAGAAGAGCAACGCTGACAAGCCATTCATTAATTTGCTTTTATTTTCGGGAAATAATGTAGATAAAGAGGAAGAGGAGACGGACTGCCTTACATCTCAACAAGTAATTTGTGGTCTTCACATCGAACAAATCAAATTTACAAATTACTTTCCCACCTACTGGACCAAGCGGCCCAAACCAAAACTGGTAGATACACAGGTGCTCTCCTTAGATTTCGGAGAGTGAAGGCTCACTAAAAACTCACTCAACAGACAGGGGCGTTTTAAAGGGCAAGACACCCAAGGAGAAACTGGACCCGGGATCCTGCTTCCTTTCACAATGTTGTAATTTCGCTTCTTTTGTTGGTTTCTAAGCCGAAACTTTGACTGTGTGCTTAGAGCGGCGAGGGGCTCAGTCCTGCGCCCGGCCCAGCCTAGCCCCCACCCCATACCCCGACTTAGCTGTTTCCTTCACTTCTGATCCTCCAGCGCCCAGCTTCCTGGAACCAAGCGGGGTTCTTTAATAAATACACAAAGGGAGATGTGAAGAGGGGCAGGACAGCTTGTAACAACTGAAAAATAAGAACCGCCATCGTTTGAGAAAGAGGAACAGGAACAAAGGGGAATATTTTTTGCTTTTGTTATATATATGTGTATATATTTATATATGCGATGTATATATTTTCAAGTTCTGTTTCCTGGACGCTAAAACAAGAGAGATGCTCAGTTCAGCCAACAGCAACTGAAAAGTTTAAGTGGTCCCTGGAACGGACCGACTATGTACAGCATTCCCGCCTAGGCGGAAGCTTGAATCAGTCCAGAGCAGGGCAGGGCAGGGCAGGAGGCTGGGGCACTCTCCTCACTCTCCTCCCGAAGGCCTGGCTCAGTGCTCACCACTGGGGAGGTGGGCGCGCAGGAAGCTCTGGCCTGCAGATGGGGAGCTGGGTCAGTGGCAGCTGAAGGGGGACAGTCTGCTAGGGGAGACAGTGGTGGGTGTGACTTGGAGGAGTGTGTATGGGTGCACTCCAAACGGTATGCCAGCTAGTGACTTCAGTGTCCAGAAAGAATAAATAAAACTGTTGAGCTCAAAACACAGAGGGTCGGGGCGAAGAGCCTCCAAAGGCTCCGGGTGCATGAAAGCTGTCCAGAGAGACTTGAAGGGGTGACTCACTAGTTGAGAGGGAGAGCACACTGCCATCCTGGGAAGAGACTGAGGGCCAAGCGGAAGCACCGGGGCCCCATCTCCAAAGGGGAGAGGGTCTACCCCTCCCCAAGCACGTGGCACAAAGATGGCAGCGGCGGCGCAGGCAATGGGCATCTGGGGGGGAGTGAAAATTCAGTTTTGGAAAAGCCAAGGCGAAGGCGAGCGGTGCAGCAGCAGCAGCAGGATGGGGACCACGGAGGGCGCAGGTAGTTGCGTTTCTTCTCCACTTCCTCTCATTCCTGGGCTCACAAGACCTGGAACCGCCAGGAGGCTTGGTCCTTATAGTCCAGACAGTCGGGAGAGTTGAAGTTGAGTTTCCAGGCAGAGGGAGCAGCGGCAGCGGCAGGCTCCTTATAATCCAAGCAGTCGGCAGAGTTGAAGGCGAGCCCAGAGCCTCCATAACCTTGGTGGTGGTGGTGGTGGTGATGGTGGTGGTGGTGGCCTGAAGATTGGCTCAGTGGGTGGTGTGCGTGCGGGTGGTGGTGGTGATGGCCAGCCATGGAGGAGGGCGCCATGGGGCTAAGCTGGTGCGGGTGGTGATGAGAGTGCATGGGCGCTAGGTAAGAGCTGCAGTCTACGCCGCCAAAGTAAGAGGAGGAGGGCGCGGGGTAGCCCTGGCCGTAGCTTCCGCCCTGGCCGTAGGACATGGGGTAGGAGGCCGCTGCCGTGGCAGCACCTGCGGCTACGGAGCGCTGCATGCAGGAGGCGTTGCTCGGCGCGCCCAGCGGCTCCGGCACGGACACGGATGGCGGTGCTGAGCCTGGCGAGATGGAGGCCGGGCTCCAGATGGACGAAGCAGTGGGCGTACTCAGAGAGGACGCGGCTGCCACCGGGTTCCCAGCCAGGCCCGCGGCCGCGGCAGCCGCGGGGTTAGCGGAGGCACTGGACGCTGAGCTAGACGAAGAGGCAGAGCTGGACACGGCAGGCGGCGTGAACTGGCCGCTGCTCTCCGAGCCCGAGCTCTCGCGCACCGGAGACGACTTCTTCTTGACCGGCCGGCTTTTCGTTCCGCTCCCGCTCTGCTGCTGCTGGCGGCACTTGGCGCGGCGGTTCTTGAACCAGACCTGCAGTGCAGGAGAGGGGATCAGGGAGCTGGCTAGGGGAGCTCACAGCTCCTCCGCCCCTGGGACTCACACCCCGCCCAGGCTCTCGGGGACCTCTCAATCCCAGCCTCAACCCCTCCCAGTCTCTGGCCCTGCCAGACCCTGTCCCCTCCCCCGCACGTGCTGGGTCCCCAGCTCTGGCTCCCTCCCCCATCCTTCTGCGCAAAGCCCCCGGTCAGCCTCCACCGCAGGAGGGATGCGCACCTCCCCAGGCCCAGCGCAACTCTGCCCGAGGGCGGGACGTTTGCGTCTGTCCAGCCAGAAGTTCAGCCATCTCTAAGCTGTTGCAGTTGGCTGCTCCCCCCGCAGCCCCGTTTTAGTTTGGAGGCCCTGTTTTCCTTGAACAGAGCTCAGGAAACAGCGCAGAGGACAGAACATCGGAGTGTAGGGCAGTCACCAAGTCTGGGGCCCGAGGGGTTTCACCGAGTCGGCTCCTGGAGACTGGAGTTGGGCAAGGCAAATATTTGGGTGGGAACAGAAGCCAGGCTGGAGGCTGAACGGAAGCAGGGCTACAGTACTGGATTCTGTGAAGGAAGCCTGGGGGGAGGTTTCCTCGGGCCTTTTGGGTACCAGGTGGGATACCAAATGGAACGATAAGTCATAAATAAATTCACACTCCTTTTGGAGCAGCCCGGACATGGGGCATTGCATTCCCAGTCCCTTCTTGAGCCTTCGGGGAAGACAAAAGACCCTCGAGGAAGAGTTTTAGACTAACTCAGAACTCTTATTTTCCGAACCGTTTCATTTTAGAGACATTAAACTCAGCATCTGGATTTTGCGCTCGGCCTCCACTCGGCTGGAGAAAACTCCAAACCAGACCGACTCCACCCGCAGAGCACACTCCAAGACAGGCTGCACTAGGCTGTGGCCAACGTCCATCTTGCACTTTTAGAATCCCCAGGAACCCAGGGGAAGGGTACGAAAGACAAGAGCGGAAGCAGAGTTAAGGCTCTGTAGGAAAACGTCAAATTCTGTTGTAGCCAGGAAGCAGGGGGCATTATCTAACCTTCTGAGAAAGTTACATCCGGGAGACAAGGCTGCCCTTCCCAAAATCCAAAAACTGACTTTGAACAATCAAAGCGCCCTGGGGATAAGGGCTGGAGAGATGCTGGACTCTAAGTCATTGCTTTTTAATGTTACTCCTTTAGCTAACTGCAGCCCAGCACTAGGGGGAGTTAGAGAGGGGCTGTCCAGTCAGTGAATGGGCCCCAACACCAGCCCGCCCAGGCCGGCTCTTCCCCGACCGGTCCTAGCGCCCCTACCCGGCCCCCAGAGCCCCCGGGCCGCGCACCTGGACTCTGGACTCGGGCAGGTTGATCTTGAGCGCCACCTCCTCTCGCATGAAGATGTCCGGGTAGCGAGTCTTTGCGAAAAGGGCCTCCAACACGTCCAGCTGTGAGCGCGTGAAGGTGGTGCGTTCCCGTCGCTGCTTCCTCGGAGTGGCTGCGGGGACAGGCGAGGGACCAGGAGTCAGCGGTGGGCCACGAGGGCTGGTTCTAGAGCCACCGGCAGGACCTCTGGTAGGTCCAGAGCCCCGCCATGGAGAGGAAAGGCCGACCTCCGAGCAAAAGCAGACTTCCCTGCCCACAGGTGGGCCACGGTGTATAACCTGGACTAGAGGCTCCGGTCTCAGGCCTCCGTGCATCTCAGATAAAAAAACAAAGTTATCCCCTCCTCGTCTCCCTAAGCCCACACACTTCTGGCTGAAAGGTAGAAAGTACAACAGAGAGCTAGGTAGAAACAGGACTTGGGAAAGCTTTCCAAGAGAATAAATTAAAGCAAAAAAGTAGGATCCAGAAAATAAACTCGGGGTTCAGCTGGAGTCTACCGCCACGGAGGAGCTGGGTCAGGTCCCTGGTCTCTAGAGCTCTCTGACTGGGAGAAAGCTCTGCTTCCCAAGGCAGATAGACATAAGGGAAGTTTGGCTTCTTATGTTAGGGCCTATCGAGTACAGATTCCTCGTGAAATGTTTGGGCAGGCAAGGTTTTACTTATTTTTTAAAAAAGCAACCAGTGGGACATTCGTCGGCGGACAAACATGCTCTCTCCAGCGTGTAGAACCTCACAGGAGCCAGGTTGCAGGCACCACAAGCTTAAAAGTTGTAGGTCACAGTTTCTAAACTCAACCCAGCAAGCCTGTAGCAGATCTGGGCAACAGGCACAGAGGTAACCGTGTCCCTGGGCCTGCTCGGGGACAGTGTGGCTCAAACGAGAAAGGCTAGAACCCCCCCAATGTTTGCACAGGCTTGGGGGTAGGAACAGAGGCCACTGCTCACCAGGATAGCCCACAGAGGGGTGCAGGAGGTCCATGGCTGGGCCAGCTAGGCCCAGCCCGTTCATGCCGTATGGGGGTTGTTTGAGGTAAGACATCATGCTAACAGCCGGGCGGAGGCGCCCCGACGGATCCAGGGGGCCCGGGGCCAGGAGCGGTTCAGGGCTCCCACTTCGAAGTCCTTCAAGCTGTTGCTTCTGGGGGCCTGGCCTGAGGAGACAGGAGACACATGGAAGCCGTCACCCGCAGTCACTTAGGCTCTCAGGTCCTATAATCCTCGAACGGGGAGGGGGGCAGGCTGGGAACTTCACAGGGCAGGCAACCCAAGAAATTTCTTCTCCAAGCTCGCACGGCTTCTTAGAAAAGTAAACTTTCCCCATCGTTCCTTCCTCTTTGAGGACTTGACAAGGGCCAAAGACACTCCTCGAGTGTCAACAGGAAAGGAAACTTAAAAGCGCGGTCAGGCCGAGGAGGTGAGAGCTGGGACCGGGGAGGGTGCAAAATCCCAAGTGTAGTCTTTTTTTTTTTTTTCTTTAGTGCGGCGGAAGCAATTTGCTCAAGCAAATGTTCACTTGGCGCCGGCATGGCAGGCCGTACAGAGCTTACGGGGTTATTTCGTTTAAGTTTCAAATGTTTTTGAAAGAGGGACAAAACCGCTGGCACTCAGAGGCCCAAGGTTAGCGCACCTCGGATCGCCCAGGCGACTGCCCATTTTGGACACATCGTTCATTCCTTCGGAGATCTCCAGGGCCGCCCCCTCCCCCAGAGCCCGTAATCCTCATTCTGGTGACCTCTCTGGGCCCCTGATACTACGAGATGGGTGAACCGGAATCTCACCGCACCTCCAGGGCAGATGCGGCCCAGGCCCGGCTGGGGCGGCAAGAAGATGCCAAAGGCGCCACAGTAGAAGCCGCAGTTTCAAGAAGCCGCCCAAGGTCAGGGGTCCCCAGAGGCGGTCACCCGCCCTCCGAAGCCCGAGTCCCACCAGGGTCTAATAAAGGGTGGCCAACCCAGC